AAACTCCAACTTCAACGTCACGCCCGAGTATGCGGCCGCGCACGGCTGCGGCCACAAGTGCCAGCAGATACTGCGTCTCGGCAACGCGGCGGACCTGGACGACGTCGGGCACGACTTTGCGTTTGACTTCTTCGCGACGGCGGGCAACTTTTCCGAGGCGACGCGGCCGGGCGACGTGCTCAAGGTGCAGGCCGTGGACGCGCGGACGCTCAACGTCGACTCGGGCACGACCGTGTTCCGGATCCAGTATGCGTCCAGGGACCTGGATGGGAAGACGGTGCCGGCGACGGGCTTCGTCGCGTTCCCGTTCACGCCGGACTTTGCCTATACGCGGAACGGCGCGGCGCAGTATCGGCTCGCGGCGTTTGCGCACGGCACCATCGGCCTGTTTGCCGGGTGTGCGCCGTCGAATAGCCCCGACCTGTACGACTACAGCACGTGGCGGGCGGCGGTGCAGAGGGGGTACGCTGTTGTTGCGACTGACTATGCTGGCCTTGGGAACAACTACACGACGCACAAGTACCTGACGCTGCCGGCGCACGTGCACGACGTCTACTACTCGGTCGTGGCGGCGCGCAGGCTGTTTGGCCATGTGCTGACGAGGGAGTGGGTGTCGTTTGGGCACTCGCAGGGCGGCGGCGCCGTGTGGAAGCTCGCCGAGAGTGAGCATGTCCGGAACGACACCGACTATCTGGGCACTGTGGCCATGGCGCCGGCCACGTATATCATCGACATGTTGCGCGGGCCTGGCGTCGACTTTACGGGGTACTTGTCCTTTCTGCCGTTTGCGGCCAAGAGGGCGCTGCCCGGCTATCAGCCGGCGTTTCTGAGTGATGTGATGAGCAGGCGCCTCGAGTTGGCGGAGACGGCGCAGCTGTGCATCAGTGGCATGCTGGGCTTGCCGCTGGATCTGGACGAGGAACAGCTCTTCTCGGCGGGCGGGCTGGCCAAGGACATGGAGAGGCTGGAGGCGTGGCAGAGGATGCTGGCGCCGGCGCAGGGGGACAGGTCGCCTGCTCCGGTGCTGGTGGTGCAGGGCCTCAACGACTCCTCGGTGCTGGCGCCTACCACGGAAGCCGCCTGGAGGAATGCCTGTCGGTACGGCAACGAGGTGCACCTGAGGAGGTATCGGGGCCAGGACCACTCGCCGCTCATGCAGGCTTCGGCTGCCGAGTGGCTGGCCTGGATGGACGACCTGTTCGCGAGCAAGAGGGACGGCTGTAGTCGGCGTGCCGCCCGGTGCACCGCCGAGACGAGGACCCCGTTCAGCCCCGAGTTTGTGAAGCAGCCGCCCGAGGGGGGCGATGCCTTGATGACCGTCTTGGAGGGTATACTGAGTGAGTAGACCGGTGTTGGGAGCATGGCTTGTCGAGCGTCCAAGTGAGCGCGTAGATGAGCCAACTCTGGTGGCAGAGAGACTTGGCGCGGCACCAGGGGAGCAATGTATTTTTAGAACACCAGACGGCTAATGCGGAATCGAAGCCATCTCGACTCGTGGGGGTCAAACACTGCGTGAGGCCAGGACGATTGTACGCCTGCGTGACACGCGTCATGGCCGCATTAAAGCCCGATTCCAAGGTACTACCTAGATAACTGGTAGCTTCCATTCTGGGTTCGCAAGGTGGCGGTATCCAGTGACTTTGTAGCATGGAATAGTATTCCGGCGAGGAGGCTTGCTCGAGTCCAAGCATTTTAGATTGTCATAGTTTCCTCGCGAAATAGTGCCAAGGTGGATGTGAATGCCGAGCTGCCATTTTGAGTAGGAGCAAGTAGGACCAGCACCAAGATGATGCAGCGTCCAGTTAGAAGCTGTGACGAAAACCAAAAGCCCAGGCTACAATCTAAAAGGAAGTTGAGGAGCATTGCGTGGTAATGGGACGGTTGTGAAAGCGTCGATCCTGGTTGCGGAAGATATAGCCTGGGTGCGGGTTTGACTTGGTACGTGGGCATGGATGCTAGGACACCTTCTTGCTTCTATTTCTGGCACAACAAGAACCGAGGCGCTTCTGTACTACGTACTTGCCCATGCTTCTCGACCATGTATGCGTGGCTCGGGGCGCTGGGCTAGATATGGCAGGTCTACCAGGACCAGGTTTCTTGAAAACAAGCTTAAAAATTGCTCGGGACCTTGGCTTTTCTTGGTCGGTACTTGTTTCGCCGACTACTGTCATTACCGTGGCGCGTTGCGTCCCCTAAGCCAAGTTCAATAAAGGGCCTAGCTCTCTTTCTTTGGTCGTAATGCAAGCGTTGGTCTTGATGTCGCTTTGAGCACTCCAGAATCCTACCCCATATGATCAAATGTCGGGGTGCATGAGCTGACGCCAAACATGATGCCACATGCCAAGTCCAGTGCCACGGTCACCTTCTCCGCAATCAGGATGCCTACCTGCATATTCTGGGTCGAGCTCTTATTGCTTGGCGTCTGGGGGTACATTGGGGGCAGCTCTGCATTGCGCAACATTCTTTTGTGAATCTCGTCCTTGGTTGGTCTGCCACATCATCGCGACTTTGCTAGAAAGGGCAGGTTGGCTGACTTGTTGACCTGCCTATCTCGGCAACATTTAAACTCTTGCCCAACCAATATCGAGATCGTTTGAAAGTCTGGATTGAGTCTGCTCTGAACAAGCAGCTGTGTATGTCTGAATCGCGAGGTATTCTGACGAATGCTGATGCGTGTCCGTGGCACCCTGAGTAATGTTAGTTTATGGATATACATGTATGTAAAAAAGAGAAATAAATAGGGACGGCTGCGCCTCATCCTTGACCTCTGAATAGGGCGCAACACTTTAAAAACGTTACTCTGTTTCCTGATATTGTTCTGCAATTGTGAATCGTCTTGCCAACATGAAAGTGGTTGCCTTCTTTGCGTGCCTAGTAGCCACGGCGGCCACAATGCCGGCGGAGAGCCCTGTGTCTTACGACGGGCACAAGGTCTTTCGAGTCCCGGTCGTGGACGATGGCACGCACATCCAGAGTCTGATTGATCGCTTGCATCTGAATGTCTGGCAGCCGCCCTCCAAGAAGGGTGCTTTTGCCGACATCCAGGTGGCCCCAAGCCAGTTGGCAGCCTTCGACAAGGCAATGAAAGGACGCAGCTTCGAGATCATGCATGAGGATCTGGGAGACTCAATAGCCAGAGAAGGCACCGTCCAGGAATATGCGGGTGAGTGACGACTCGTTCATGTCCAGCCCATGACTGCAATATGATAGTGCAGCGCTTTAACGCCCTCGTGTGAGCGATAGCCGGCTCGGCCAATGCCTCCTGGTTCACATCGTACCATCCATACAATGACCATCTTCAATGGATGAAGGACATTGCCTCTCAATACTCGAGCAATGTTAAGAGTGTTACGTCTGGCACCTCGGGTGATGGCAACACCATCACTGGCCTGCATATTTTCGGTAGTAGCGGTGGCGGCAAGAAGCCCGCTGTCGTTTTTCACGGCACCGTCCATGCGCGCGAATGGATCGTTGCTATGGTACGACTCGTATTGCCAAGGCCGACTGGGACGAGAAGCCAGCTAATGACATGTTTCGGACAGACTCTCGAGTATATAACCAACGAGCTCGTCACCAAGTATGCTACCGACAGCGCCATCAAGGCTGTTGTGGACAAGTACGACTTCTACATGTTCCCCATTGTCAACGTTGACGGTGAGTAGTCTACTCTTCACCCCACGGCACAGTCTTCTTGCCCTCTCTTCTACCACTCTGCAAGAGTCGAAGATCGGGATGGCTGATGTAGCTGAATGCAGGCTTCAAGTACACGCAGTCGTCAGACCGCATGTGGAGGAAGAACAGGTCTCGCAACCAGGGCTCAAGCTGTCTCGGCACGGATCCCAATCGCAACTGGCCATACAAGTGGGACGGTCCCGGGTCATCAACGAACCCTTGTACTGAGACGTATCGAGGTGCATCTGCGGGTAACAGCCCAGAGGTCAAGTCGTACATCGCATTCCTCGATAAGATCAAGAAGAGCCAAGGTGTCAAGCTATACATCGACTGGCACTCGTATTCTCAGCTGTTCATGACACGTAAGTCGCATAGTGCCCATGGGAAACGTGCAAACGGGGACCAAATCACAAATACTAACGCGAGTCATCGTTTCCTTGGATAGCATACGGGTACTCTTGCAGCGCAAGGGCGCCCAACCATGCTGCCTTGCAAGCTCTCGCAAAGGGTGCTTCCGATGCTATCAGGAGTGTCCACGGAACCGCCTTCACATATGGTCCAGTTTGTAATGCCATCTACCAAGTTGCCGGTGGCTCTATTGATTGGGTCCAAGACGTTCTTAAAGCCGATAATGTCTTCACAATCGAACTGCGTGACAAAGGTAGGTATGGATTTGTCCTGCCACCGGACCAAATTATACCCTCTGGAGAGGAGAGCTTTGCCGGCGCCATGCATCTCTTCCAGCAGATGAGTTAGGGCGCATTCCAAGCAACAGTTGGGAATTGTCCCATGACGTGTTCCGTAACACTAGCTTGTATATAGGACGGCGCAAGGTGTTTAGCGCGGGTGATGAGCATGTAGGCGCAATAAAAGAAAAGCAATTCACACGTGAACTTGCGGTAGCTGAGGTTCCATATGCAGTGCGAACTGTACTCTATGGCCTTTCGAGTCTGTAACGGATATCTTTTTGGACACGGGCATTCTAGGAACAAGCAATTCATCCACTGCAAGTGAGGATAGTATGGCATTAGCATCGAAATATTGCCGGCAAAATGATTGAAAGCTCCTGCATGCTTCCATGCCGAAAACTTATAGGAATTGAGCCTCGTGACGATTGGATGGCCGGACTAGTGGGAGGGCAGGAGTCCCAGGTTCCTCGGTGTGACAAGTTGAAGCATAGAGACGTTCACCTGTTCAGAGATCAAAAGTCAAAGCATTTATTTTATATTCGGTGTTGACAAGGTTCAGTGTTTAGTTCTCAGAGATAAATATTGCTTTATGCCGATGCGTGGCTTCGACCACTGCACTATACAGCCCAAAGTCTAACCTCATGTCAGTACAGTTGCGGCTTGTGTAAACGAAGAATTTTTCGACGGCTTACCAATGTCTGTGCCAACATCTAGAGAGCTGAGCACTTTGACAGACAAGTCGGGATTCACTTTCCCAATAAGTTGAACAGTGTTGCCGTTGGTTAGGTGGGCGTCCTACAACACGGTTTGTATCGGTCAAATCTAGTCATGGCTAGTAAAAGGAGAAAAAGAGCCAAAAAGCTTACCCGATTGAGCACTACAGTCACAATACCATCGGAATCGATTGTGGCTTGGTCACCACGAAGCTGTGTGACCTTGCCTACAATGGTGACAAGCCGGCCAACGAAGCTGTCCAAGTAGCGAGCTGTGATGCGCGGAGAGGAGAGTTCAGACATGTTGAGAGGAATAGGTTGAGATTTGCTTGATAAGGGCAAAAGCAGACAGCGCCGCAATGCTGGCTAGGGCAACTGTAAATGTAGGAATGGGCAAATTAAATCGTGAGTCGATGCCTCCTGTGCCGTCGTCAGTCGTCAGTTTGAGAGAAGCGCGTCTCAAAACGCGCGGGAAAGAACGCGCTATCACGTGAGCCACAGCCCCCAAAAGAAGCACCACAATTCTCCCGCTTCGGCTGCCGGGCAAACCGTTGCCGACAAATTTAGAGCCGTTGCGCCAATTATGCCAGTGGCGGCCAGGTGCCAATTGAAAGAAGCCTGGGTGACGTCTGTGTGCCCTCGATGCGGAGTTCCTTCACGCAGGCTTGCCACCACAACATCGCTGCGATGCATAATTGGCCGCCTTCCTGTCGCCAGGAAAGCCATGTTCATTGGATCGGCATTTTGCATTTTAGCATTTCGTTATGAACCTTCAATTATGATTTTGCCACTCGCGGTTTCTTTTGGCGACTGACATCCATTGAGGACGGAGTCACACACCACGGACTCGGGATTGCCAGGGACGACGGTAACGAATGAAGAATTCATCGGCGCCATAAGTTGCGAATGGAGCTTTTCAGCCAAACGTCAGGTCCGGGATGGTTTGAAAATCGCAATAGTACGCCATTTGCCACCGCACTGTTCACAACCTATGGCACACGGTTCATGGCTTTTCGTCCAACGGGCTTGGTGGGCATGAAGATTAGAAACGGGTGTTTCGACATGAGCATATCCATTCAGAATTGTTTGGAGCCTTGTGATGCGAGTCCGGACCAAATGCTCCGTTCTCAATCTCAGTCTGCAGCCGCCTTGGGCAACTTCTGGAACACGTTTGCGCCAGTCCGCCGGGGTGCACTTTGACTCCATCAGCACCAAGCGGCGGAGTGTGAGTAAGAGGCGTTAGTACGCCCTCATATCGTTCCGCATTGGTCCTCGGTTGCACAAGCATCAATCTTTGACCAATAGCAACGTGCATCTCCCGTCATGGTGGCGTCGGAGTCAACCCCTACTGGTTTCTAAAAGCAGGTTCAAGAGTGACAGCCAACTAGTGACATGAGCCACAACATGACAGCAGACACACCCATGACCTCACGACCGTGGCCCGCAGCGGACGCCCTTCTCAGGGTACCTCTTTCTCGAAGCTGCCTGCGTGACTTGGTGGGAGATGACGCATCATTCCTAGTATGTTGAGATGAATTCTACCCACTGTCAAGTTCTGCCAGCTATCCGCGGCCAGCTCACCATCGGAGCTGGCTCCGACAGTTCTCATTGGTGGTAGGCGGCTGAAAGGCGTCAAAAGGCCAATACAGCCAATGCCAGAGCAGTATCCTCCGGGCATGCAGGGCGTTGCTGAATGCTCGCAAGCATGCAAGCAAGTCAATTGGTGCTTTACTGCTGTGCTTGGCCGGATACCTGTCCTGAGTGCCAACCCCAGCATGGCGCGGCGGCATGCATTGTGAAACACGCGGCACTGCGGTACTACTTGACACCTCGAGAAGCATATCTACGGTAGAGGGAAAACGTCTGGTGTAAGTTGCGCTATGAGTAGGAAGAGGAACCAGACTCGGGTCCCCTTGACGGACCTGACGCGGTGGGCCACAACCAGGTCCCATATACGGGCAAGCCCCAACAAACGAACAAGCCATGGGTTAATGTCCGAGGCGGATCAAAGTAATTGTTTGGAACACCTGCAGTCAAATTGTACCAATTCAGTGTTGCCAAGGTTTTATTACTTCCGTTTTGTGGAGAGGATCTCCTCCAAGAATTGCCCGAGACAGGCACCCAAGTGTCACAGTGCCTTTGCATTGGCACACTTTGACAGCCACTGATATCAATAAGCTACGTGACGGCCCCTCCAAGCTGTTAAACTTCTGGTGTGTAAAAAGGCCTGTTCGCTCGTGGAGGTCTCGATGTGTCTTCTAGGTTCCTGAAAGCAGGTTATTGACCCCAAACTTGTTCAATATTCCAAAAAACTAAAGAAACTGAGAATAACTTGGTTCTCCATCAAAGCCCATCCATCTGCAAATAATTCAACTTCTCTTTCCATCCGGCTGTCAATCATTGGGTTTCATTCTATCAGCCAGATTCAGTAATTACGTGTCGAGCAAACTAGCCCGGCAACACGATTCCGTCCTCCCCTTCCCCAGTAAACGCGACCGTGACTGACAGGCAGAAAGACGGCAGACTGCATACTACTTTACAAATCCTTTTGTATAGTATTGTCACTTATTGAAGCAATTCAGTAGTCTCGCCGAGTATCTTGTCGCCGTTCTCATCTTCCACGCAGCCTCCAACCAAATACGGAATGTCGACGGCCGAGCTTTTGATTGGACAGATGGCGGGGGAAAACGAAGTTGACCCAGTGTTGTTTCGTCCAGACCAGCACTCCCTCTCCCAGTTTCCTCAGGCTGGCATCCACGACGATGGGACACCGGATGCCTTGTTCTATCCGCTGTCGGGGCTGTCAGGAGAACACAAGAGTTATCAGCTCGAGAGGCCAGACGGAAGTCTGTACCCATTCGACACAAGCCTCCTATTCCCTGCGACCGAACTGAATCCAGCTGCCTCTACGTCTGCCAGTTCGTCCAACTTTGTCAGCCAGACCCCGGCGTCGAGCGTGCTTTCCGCAGAGGATGGTTGCGATAAGCCGAAGAAGACGACCCCCCCCAAGCGAAAGAAGAATTCCACGACAGTAAAATCAACCAAAAAGAAGACGTCTACGGAAGCGCCGGCCAAGGCGGTGCTGAAGACCCGGACACAGCCAAAACGCGAAGCAACCAAGGCCACCAATAATACAGCAGAAGCGCAGACGGAAGAAAGCAAGCCAAAGCATCGTCGCCAACGGTCCCTGGAAAAAAACCGCGTTGCTGCTTCAAAATGTCGAAAACGCAAGAAGCAGTGGACTGAAAACCTAGAACAGAAGAAATCTGGGCTGGAATCCGTTCACGCGGAGCTCCAGTCGGAATACATGGAGCTTCTGCAAGAGACTTCTGAGCTGAAGAACTTTTTGATAAGCCACGCAAGCTGCCAAGACCCCAATATTGATATTTGGATAAAGAACGAGGCCTCGAAATATGTTCGCAATCTTCACAATGCAAGTCGCGTCCATTCGATGCATTCCGTCCCGAGTCAAGATGGTAAGTCTGCCGCAATACTTGAATGCCAGATGGGCATAGCTACTCCCCTGTCAGCTTTTGGTTAGTCGCGAACCTTGCTAATAATGTCGCGTCAGGCGATGCCTTTACTTCGCGACATTCATCGATTCCCAGCCCGATAGGCGGGCTCTCCCGAGAATCAACGGATCGCGAAACCGAGGAACTGAACAGCGGCGAAAATTCCGACGAGGAAGGTGCCTTCGAAGGTGACTTGGAGGACTGATAAATGGCCTTGGCGAGGGAGTGTGAAATTCCCCCTCGATGCGAGCCAGGGACAGTCAACAGCTGCCCTAGATGGGTGGTTATCGATTCCAGCGACTTTCTCGGTTGGAGATTTGGATTCTTCAAGATGATGAGGAGCTCGGCAATGTACGTTCAGACATTGATGGACTAGCATTGAGAATCATATTGGAGTTGGGCAGGATCTGAGAAGCTTGCACATGGACATAGTTTGATGAGGCTACGGTGGTGTGAAGGAGGATTTCGAGGCTGACAATCGGAAGTGACGAGTGGTACTTTGGGAGGCTGTTTGCATCATGACTGTTATGACGACCAAAGATGAAAATTACCTGGGCTCCCAGAGAGCAATGGCGCCACTAGAGAAGGGCGTTTTGATTGACGGAACGGGAGGGATTCATTCTGGTGTTTGCTCATTAGGTGTTTAGCTAACATGCGGAAATTTGCTTTCGATTTTGCCGTTTCGTAAATGGTGTTTGCTAATTGTGCATCCGCTTGTACCTGAGATGTGTCACGGCCCGAACTACAACGCCCATCAACGAGTCCTCGACCATCCGAGCCACACAAATATCATTCGGGCATATTTATCCGACTCTCAATTCATATCCCGAACACGGTGTACTTTGTGCGTTGGGCAACCACGGCACGACAAGGGTATCTCCGTCTGGATTTGGGAAGTCACGCAAGACATGATCGGAAACACTCCAGAACATGCAACTTTTTCTATCGCAGATGCGATGTGAGAAGTCGTCAAAAAGTGAGGCTAGGTCCTACATTTACGTCGAGTCAGGGACAAGATGTGGTGGACTGACGGATACGTCGAGCACGTTCAGTCACGAGAATGCAAGGCTCGAAACGTGCGCATTCGACACTGTGAAAGGATGAAAGTTGTGATGCAGCTTGTACAGTATCTCACGGCCAATAAACACCCTTACCATGCGATTGGAGAGGTTTGCCATGGGGACGTAGCGAGCGCATGTATGGCACGACAGGGGGAGACTGTTTATCACTTGCAGCGAGATACACGTCACAAACCGATGACGCGATGATCCACAATGAAAACTGCATATACGAGACGTTGCAGCGTGTCCAAGAAAACATTTCTAGCCGGCGGGTTTTGTTGATAATCTTGACCCACGGTATGCATGTGTAATGTGCTGCCCTGCCGAGTTGGAAAACCAAGAGTGAGCAAATTGTGCCCATGTATTTGCTTGCCGAGGGCTTTACAGACCAGGGGGATTAACTCTCATAGATTTGACCTACTCGTTCATTCTTCTTCTTTTTTTTTTTTTCATTCGGGCTTCCACATGTGCGGTGAGTCTGGCACAATTTGGTTCGCATGGTGAAAGATGGCGTATTTTTCGACGAACCGTTGGAGAGAACTTGGAAATTGATCTTGAACCTGTGACTATATAAATGATTCAATCTTAGTCTCCATCGACTGATGACAATGATGATGCGAACAATCCCCCCCAACAGGACGGGCCTGAAGCAGTTCCTGGTCACTTGTAGATATTCACAGCATGGAGACGCTGCTATAGAGCGTAGACGAAAGAACATACTAACCAACGCCTAGATACATAGTACAATTTAAAAGATACAAGGCTTGAAATGAAGCTCATTCAGAAGGCGAGCCAAACAACTCCATGTGAACACGCTCCTCGTCCACGCCCATCAACATCAAAGCCTTGCTCTGTGCTTTCATGAATGGTAGCGGGCCGCAGATGTAGAAGTCGGCACCTGGCAAGAGCACCATGTCCTTAATCTTACTCAATTCAACTCTTCCCACGAAGTCGTAGTCGAAACCTTGTTGGTCCTGGTCGGTCACCTCTTCGTAGAAGACGGCCCGGCGAACCTGAGGATTGTTGGCGACAATCTCAGACAAGGCGGCCTTCATGGCGTGCACGCGGCCATTGCGCACGGCGTGGACAAAGACCACCTTTCTCCAGCTCGCCTGGTCCACGAGCGTCTTGAGCATGGCCATCATGGGCGTCAGCCCGACACCTCCGCTCATGAGCACAACCGGCGTTGTGGCATTGACATCGAGCACAAAGTCGCCAAAGGGCATGCTGACGTCCAGCTCTGCCCCTGCAGGCAGATCCTCATGGAGCACGTTGGATACGCGGCCGGCCGGGCGGGTGTCCGACGCGGCGGCCTTCTTGACCGAGATGCGAAACGATTTTCCGTTGGGCACGTCGGACAGGCTGTACTGCCGCGGCTGGTACGACGCCAGCTCCGGGACGAAGCATCGCACCGTGACAAACTGGCCGGGCTTGTACGTCGGCAGAGCGTCCCTGTCGACCGGAGTCAGGTAGAAGGAGATGATTTCGTCGCTCTCCTGGACCTTGTCCGAGACGAAGAACTTGCGCCACCCCTTCCAGCCTCCGGGGGTCGCGGCCGCCTGGCGATACAGCTCGCCCTCGAACTGGATAAAATACTCGGCAAGCTTCTCGTAAGCTGCACCCCAGGCATCGATGACTTGATCGTTCGCAGCGGGGCCCAGCACCGTCTTGATGGCCGCCAAGAGACCCTCGCCAACGATGGGATACTGCTCCGGGGTGATGCCCAGGCTGGCGTGTTTGTGGCCGATGCGGGATATGGTCGTTTGAAGGGCGGCGGGATTCTCAATGTTGGATGCGTATGCCCACACGGCGTGGGCGAGGGCCGCGGGCTGCTCGCCGGTGACTTGGTGCGTTGCATTAAAGATGTTTTTAAGCTCGGGATGCGAGTCGAGGAGCCGTTTGTAGAAAAGGGTCGTGATGGCAATCCCGTGTTGCTCAAGGGCTGGGATCGTGGACTGGACGATTTTGATTTGTTCTGATGTGAGGTTCCTCTTTGGGATGGACCGGAGCGTGAACGATTTACATGTTTGCCACGAAACACCAGGCCGGCGGATGAAACGCTGAGCGAGCATTGCGTCTTGACAATACGTGGTACTTAGTTATGCGTGATGTGAGTAAGATTGTGCATGAGCAAGCGAATTCGTAATCGAACCGACGTCGTTGGGCGAATTTGCCGGATGCGGTTGTGGATAAAGGCGTGGAGAGCTACCGCGGAATTGCTTGTGCCAGGTTCGCTACTATACGTAACGTTGAGCTCTGCAACTTACAATACAATGAATGGGAACGCAAGCTTCCGCTTCGTGTCTTGCGACATCGAAAAAGGTGTTGGTTCCAAGATCACACCACGATAGGGTGGTTGTAGATGGAGCCATTATGAACATGGGACCTCGGTTGTTAAGTGGTATGAGCAGCTGTGGGTTCAATAACTTGCGTAAAAATCACTCGATACAGCTGTTGAGTGGCTTTTCCCCAGCGAAGCTTCCCCTCTTGCCCCGGAGATGCTTGCAACATGAGCCAGGTTTCCCCAACATGCCAGACGTGGCTGACGTGCCGGCCAAGCCGGCGTAACCAGGGTCGCCAAACTTCTCCACCTGATAGTTCCACTTGATACACAAGACGTTGGACGGGAAGACGGTGGGAAAATGACGGTAATTGACACGGTTGTCCATGCCCTTGTTCGTAAGTCCTTCAGTCAAACGTAACGAGTGTGCGTGCTGTAGCCAGAGCATTAACTGTAGTGTAGTTTTGTGTTTTGTAGTTTTTATCGTTTCTAATATAATAAATTATATTAAATCTAATAAAATACTTATAAAATTATAAGTTTTACGAATATTATAATTTAAGTATTTTATTAGATTTATTATTAAATATTTAAGCTTTTTTAAAAATTAAAAATACAGTTTTCTTATTAATACTTCAATTAATTTAAGTTAAAGAAGTAAGTTAAGTTTATTAACTTAAAGTAAAAGAAAAAAAAGGAGAAAATTATTACTTAAAAGAATTATATTAATTATAAGAGAGACTAAAATTATAAGAGAGACTAGAAGTTAGGTAGCTAAAGTAGGGGTAACTATATTATAATAATTAAAGCTTATCCTATTTTTTAATTATATAAGATATAAGGGATATAGT